CCCCCCCCCCCCCCCCCCCCCCCTTTTTTCTCAAAGCCTATGCCATGGTCATGGAGGAAGACACCTGTCAGTCCACTATGCTTGGAGGAGGATCGCTGGCTCTCAAAGTTGACCCAGCTCGTCAACGACCGGTCGCTCCCCGTCCAGAAAATTTGGATCTTCTGCTGGGTCTCATCCTTCTGGCTCTACCCCTAGATCTCTTGAAGGTCCGCCTAAATGTCGTCATTGTAATGGGAATCATTATTCTGAAAAGTGTTTTAAGGAGCATAGTTATCCTGATTGGTTTGCTGACTACAAAGCTCGTATGTACGGCCCCAAGGCCACCTGCACTATGACTCAAGATGAGGCCCGTCCTCCGGCTCCGTCTGCAAATCTGTGTGCTTCCGATACTATGCCAGGTATGGGTTCTACTACTTGGATAATTGACATTGGTGTTTCTGATCATATGACTTATAATGATAATATGTTTGTTGAGTTGTCGCATAACCCTCGTGTCCCCTATATTACTAGTGCTAATGGTTTATCTTCTCCAGTTACCGGTGAAGATACCATCCACCTCACTCCTTCTTTACCTCTGTTTCGTGCACTCTTGGTTCCTAATATTCATTGCAATTTGTTATCTGTTGGGCGTTTGCTTGATATACTTAACGCGTCTGCTACTTTCTATTCTACCCATTATTTTTTCCAGGATCTCAGGACTCACGAGAAGATTGGGCATGGTAAACGGATAGGGGGTTGTATTACTTACAGTTGCCAGCTGCAGCAGTTCGTGGTTGTGTCGCTAATAAAGTTTAGAGTGGCAGTGTCAAAGACAAGCAACAACTTTGGCTATGGCATCGTCGCTTGGGGAATCCGTCATTTGGTTATTTTAGACATTTGTTTCCTTCGTTATTTAGTTCGTGTGATGAGTCTAGCTTTAAATGTGAGACTTGTGTAATGGCCAAGAGCCACCATACTATTTTTCCCTTAAGTAATAATAAAGCCGCTTTGCCTTTTGAGTTAGTACATTCTGATGTATGGGGTCCTGCTCGTGTGACTTCTCATGATTTCCGTTGGTTTGTTACATTTATTTATGACTGCACTTGCTTAATATGGGTGTATTTGATGAAGAATAAACATGACATTGCCTCTATTCTCCCTTATTTTTGTGCCATGGTGTCTACTCAGTTTCATGCTCATGTTAAAGTATTTCGGACTGATAATGGCGGTGAATATGTGAATCATACCTTGACCCAGTTCTTTCGTGATCACGGTATCATTCACCAAACTACCACTTCATTCACTCCTCAACAGAATGGTGTGTCTGAAATGAAGAATCGTCAGTTACTTGACGTTGCCGGCTCTCTTATGTTGGATATGTCTGTTCCCCATCATCTTTGGAGCCATGGTGTCTTGGCCGCGGTTTACTTGATTAACCGTACTCCTAGTCGGGTTCTTGATTTCAAGACTCCGCTTGATGTGTTGTGTGCCCATACTCCTCCAGTTTCGATCTCTAAGTTACCTCCGAAGGTGTTTGGGTGTGTTGCTTATGTTCATGTCTACTCCCATCAACGGAGTAAACTTGATCCTTGTGCGTCTTCATTGGCTATTCTACTACTCATAAGGGTTATGAGTGCTATCACCCGCCTACTCAGAAGGTACATGTTACTTTGGATGTCACCTTTCATGAAGAAGTTTCATATTATGTTTCCTCCTCCTCTTCAATTCAGGGGGAGAGGGGGAGTGAATTGAAGAGTTTCGGAGCGGAAAATGTGGAAAAGCTTGGACTTGAAGAAGGAATTTCTAGCGAACAGGAAGCGACCGTTCGCGTGGAAGAAGGTACCGGTCGCGAACGAACCTGCCTGGAAACAACCGGTCACATGGAAGACGCGACCAATCGCGAACGAACCTGCCTGGAAATGACCGGTAGCATAGAAGTGGGCGACCGGTTGCATGTCTCGACGAGTGACGACAATGACGATGCAAGTGAAGCGACCAGTCACCCGGAGTGCCACGACTGGTCGCCTGGTGATAATTTGGAATTTTTCGAGTCTTCATCAAAAGGACATAACAGTGATACTAGCAACTCTCGTACATATGAAATTGTCCTTAGCTGCTAACATGATTGGCCGCTGTTACAATTTGATGTCAAAAATGCATTTCTTCATGGTGACCTCAAGAAAGAAATATACATGGATCATCCGTCAGGTATCCCTGTGACCTCTAAGGAGGGTGTGGTGTGCAAGCTACGGAAATCCTTGTATGGATTAAAGCAGTCTCCAAAAGCTTGGTTCGAGAGGTTTGCTGCATCTATGAGGAAGTCTGGGTATGTACAAAGTAACTCGGATCAT